CACACATGTGATTAATACAGCAGATGAGGGGAAGGAGGGCAAAGGTGTCAAGAGGGAAGGGTGGAGAATTGAGGAGGCCTTAGGTTCTAAAGGAGAATTATGGTGTCATAACAGGTATTATGATGTAAAAGAATCCAATTAAACTCATAGAAATCCAGGGTTGAATGCCAGCTTCGTGTCCAATGAGCTCGATTACCTAGAAGCTCTGTGACTTGGGTGAAGTTAGTTAAGGTCTCTGAACCTGTGTCCTTATCTCTAAAATAACATACCTACAGGGTTTTGTTGGGAGAAATCACATAATATTTTTTAAAAAAAGCAGATACTGACCCAGTGGACAATAAATAAATAAATAAATAAATAAATAAATAAATAAATAAAGTACGTAGCACAGATTCTAGCTCACTACAGGTGCTCAGTAAACATCACTTCCCATTTAGATGATATAAAGATCACTTGCCTGTTCTCCTGAGTGTTGGCAATTTGACTGAAAAGTGTTTTAAAGGGAAGAGCATTTGGGGAAAGGAGAGAGGATTAAGGCTAAATGGACATGGTTGTGTTAGATTCTGTTTTAACTTGTTTAAAAATATTTTCAGCACTATTACAAAACATAAAGAAGACATATTATACAACTTATACATCTGCTTTATTGGTTCTCTCTAGAACATTTCTCACTGTCAACTTGATTTTATCTCTGGAAAGCTAGCGACAGCCACTCTGCTCTCTCTGTCTCTCTGTCTCTTACTGTCTTACACAAACACACACTTCTACAGGCTCACAAACACACAACATTTCTATTTGTAAACTCAAATCTTATGGTTTTCGCTCTGAAGAAATTACTTGTGCTTAAGTTTTATTTTTCAAAAAGGATCAAAGAGACAGGTGAGTATTTTTGAATACAGCATTTTCAAAGTGGAAAAGTTGAGAGTAGGATATAGTTAAGACAAATGCAACATGATACAGTACAATACAATACAATACTTCCCCTTCCTTAGTGGGGAATTAAGCACTGTCGACTGTAAAACGAGCATTTCAAAAGCATGGCAGGAAAAATGTTGGAGATCCAATGAGCCATCAGGAAGGAGACCACCGTTTACTATTAAAGCAAGTATCCTGTAGTGATATATAAAATGTGGCAGCTGGAAGAGCCTTATGAAGTGCGGGTTGTATACAGATTAAGTATCAGAGAAGGGTTACCAATGTAGGGCACAGCTGAGATGGAGAGAGCAGAGACTGCTCAGCAAACAATAAAAATAACAACAGGATTTGGGAGCACAGTGATTAGACAGGAATAAAGTCCTGAAGTTAGAATATTTAGCCTTGGGGGAAAAAAAGTCCCAGAGGAGGAGCATGTTATCTTTTCTCATTAAAAAACCTTAATGTTAAAAGCAGACAATTTCGGTACCTACAAGGCATCTTATAACTGAATTCACTTAATGGTTCTGCTCCCTTCCACATTCATTATTTATCCACTCATTTAGAAAATGTTTATCGAGCACCTATTATTGAATGCCTCCTGCATACCAGACACTATGTTAGGAACAGGGAATTCCAAGGAAAATGAGACATGACTTCTGCCCTTAGCTCAGCCCAACTGGGCTGATGTGCAACTGCACAAATAACGGCAAATTAGGTGTGATAAGTAGCAAAGTGGTCAAATGGGACAGGAGACTGGCACTGAATTAGATGCTTAAGAGGGACAGCTGGAGGTGGCATTTCAGGTTTTTATCATGGTAGTGAAGTCATCAAAGTTGTAAAGGTGGGAGTCCTGGGAACAGATGGAAGATTCAGTGGCTCGGGGGAGGGGATGACATGTAGTATTTATCAAGCTGCAGTGTGGAGCATGGATCAGAAGAAGCTAAGAGTTCTGCTCTGTATCACAGGCCAGATTATCTTCTCTGAGGAAGACAAATATCACATGATCTCACTTATAAATGGAACCCAGTGAACATAATAAACTGATGAATAAAATAGGTCCAGGAGCATGGAAGCGTGGAACAGATTGACAGATCTCAGGAGAGAGGCAGGAGAGAAATTAACCAAATAACATATATATGGTGAAGGCCTAGGGTGGGGCAGGGGATGGGAGGAGAGGAATAAAGGGGAGAAAATTGGGAGACATCTGTAATATTGTCAACAATTTAAAACATGCTAATGGGGGCTGTTTGATGTTGTGCAAAGCTTGCACTATGGTGCTCTACTAACTTGCCAAAAATGTGTACCCTGAGACCCATGTTTACAACAGCAGAAATGTCTACCTATAGGGGAATTGTTAAATAAATTACTGTCTAAACTATAGAATTAAAAGTAGTAAGAAATATGGTATTTATATATTTGGTTGGAGGTAGGGAAAGATTCTAGTTGGTATCGCACATGTATGGGAGTTTGTGTGTGTGTGTGTTCAGATGGTGAGAGAAATATCTGTGGAAGTCCAGCACAGCGTGTATGTACCTCTAGGAAGAGTAGCAGGGAACAACAGCAGTGAGAGGGAAGAGAAGTTGAGGAAAGGGAGAAGAGACAAGAGAACCTCTCAATTTTATTCTTTGTTTTTCTATGTAGTTCAAATTTTACAACATCCATGGACTTTGTTTTTGTAACTTAAATAAGACAAAATAATGCCCATGAAGCACTAAGCACAGCCCCTGCTATGTGGCCAGCAACATGGACTCTTTCTGATGGCAAGAAAATATGACTTGCACACAATGATTTAAATCTGTACATAGCCCTGGCCGATTTTTCTCAGTGGTTAGAACGTTGGCCTGTGGTCCAGAGAGACCCGGGTTCGGTTCCTGCTAAGGGTATGTGCCTTGGTTGCAGTTTGTACCCGGCCCTGGTTGGGTTGTGCGGGTGGCAGCCACTCGATGTGTCCCTTTCATGTCGATGTTTCTCTCTCTCTTCCTCTCTCTCCCTCCCACTCTATCTGAACAAAAAATGGAGAAATGTCCTCGGGTGAGGATAAAAAATAAATAAATAAATAAATAAATAAATAAATAAATAAATAAATCTGTACACAGTGTCGTATTGATGGTTATAAATGTTTTCTCTGCTGAAATAGAATGAAGTAAATATCTTAAATTATGGCCGATAGATGTTAGTTTAAATATGTATGTTCTGCTTAATCATTTAGGATTTAATTATTTAAAGCTCAGTTTGAAACAGGAAGCTTCACAAATCTAGATAACAGCAGACTTAAGCACTAAAAATTTCCTATCAACCATTATGGTTTTATCTTTAGAGTACTAAAGTTTAAAAATACTCTACATTTAGAGGTCATTGTTGCCTATCATTGAAAACCAAGGTCAAGTCTTTTCTTTTATTAAATCCCATCCTATAATAACCAGTAGATAGATATTTAGTAAATTGAGTTTTAATTTAATTTTGTGGCACTTTTTATTTATAATGAATTTAAAATACACTGTAAGTAGATCATCTTTTATTACAGTCATTTAGTCATTCTTGTTTTTATGTAAAGTTACAAATAAATTGAAAATCAAATTGTTTTTTTGAAATGTACTGAAAACCTCTGTTAAAGTTCTTCAGATGAGTTTCTTTGTAATTAAAAGAATCATTTATTATTTGCATTTATCTTGAAGGTAAATTTAGCCTTTCAGCTGCTGGATTTTTCTAAAGCAAGACAGCATTGTGTCAGAGATGATAGCACAAGTTGTGATCAAGAATATCAAAACTTCAGAAGCTATTTTTTTTTCTATGCTGATTATGTTCAAATGTATCTTAAAACCTTTGTTCTTTATTTTTATTGAATTGACATCTGGCAAAAAATATTCTATTTTTTTCTTTCATTGTATTTTTATTTTTTAATTGAATTTATTACAGTGACATTGGTTAATGAAATTATACAGGTTTAAGAAGACTTGACTTGAGGTGATAAACACAATACAATATAGAGATGATGTACTGTAGAATTGTATACCTGAAAAATATTTTTCCTACAAAGAAATAATATGATAAAATACCTGCTTTCTTAATTTTTTAGACCCATATATTTTTTCAGATTTAAATGTTTCTAAAATATATTTAATATGAGAGTGTTCTCTACCCCCATTTCTAACCCCATTGTCTTGAGAAGCTGATTTAAATATATTGTGTGTCTTAGAATTGATGAACTTTGGCATGTGGACTTTTTATATTAAAGTCATAGTGCCAAACTGAGGTATGTTCCCAAGTGATCGACTTCTAGCAGCACCCCCGCAGAAAAAAACTTAGCGAAATTGAATGATGTTTTTTACCTGATTCTCTGGTCCATCCAGCTGAGGGTCACTGGAGTCTCACTGAAACATTAGTTTCATAACATTATGGAGTTTCTAACTCCATAACATTAGTAATTCCACGGACTATTTTATTTTTATTTTTTTGCCTTCTCTTTTCTAAATTAAGCTTTTTATTTTGAGATTATTATAGATTCACATGCAATTGTAAGACATATTTAGGGAAATCTCATGTATCTTTTGCTCAGTTTCCCCAGTGATAACATTTTAGTAAAACTGGAGCGCATTATCACAACCAGAATACTGCTTTTGACATAATTCACCAAACTTACTTTGATTTTTCCAGTTTTACGTTTACGTGTGTGTGTGTGTGTGTGTGTGTGGTTAGTTCTATGTCATTTGATCACATGAGCAGGTACCTGTATCCACTACCACAGTCAAGACAGAGAATGTTTCCGTCACCACAAGAATACCATGTGTTGCCCATTATAACCACACCCTCCTCCTCCCCCGTGGACTTTTCACAGATTGGGATGGCAGTATATGTTCTAGCTATGTTTTGGGAAGTAACTGATTTGTTCTTTTCCTCTCGTGAATGTCTGCAGGTAAATAATACAAAGTACGAGAAGCCTGAGTGTTCCACCATACCCGAGTTGCGCATGTTCCTGTAGCTTGGCAAAGGAACCAACAACATGGGCTGCCTGGGGGTGAGGAGGCAGCATTTCTAACACTCTGGAGGCACAGAACCAAATTTGCCACCTTTGTTTTCATTCCCAGATTACGCTCGATTTGAGGCCAAAATCCATGACCTACGAGAGCAGATGATGAACCACAGCATGAGCTCCGGGTCCGGGTCCCTGCGCACCAATCAGAAACGCTCCCTCTATGTCAGGTAGGCAGCGGAGCAGTCCTTACTGTGATCTGCACTTTGTGAGCAATCCAACTTGGGGAGACAAAAACACCTTGTAGCAAGGGATCATGTGTTTTATTAACCCAGGCTCATCGATGCAGCACTGTAAGACCTTAGGTTTAACCATTTTTGAAGGAATTTTTGAAATGCTATTATGTTAAATTAGTTAAAGGCCCCTTCTTTTAACAGGTTACTTTTTGACCATGTTATGACCCAGGGTAAAGTTCTTAGCACAGGTTGCAGTAAAAATAATGGGAAAAATAAAAACATTTTTAATTTTAATAAATCTTATATTGATTATATGGACCAAAGCTCTGGACAGTTGCTCATCATCGGTATGGGAAGTAAGTATTCCTGTATCACCTCTGAACCTACGTGATACCTACTGCATTAACGTTGGTGTATTGATTTGATATCAGAAGTACTCTTTATGTGTTTTTCCCTAACAAATTTTGGTGGAAAGACTTTCTTCTGTCACATCTTATTACCAATCATTTCTTAAATCACAAAAATTATTTGTCCCTTGCCTGATAAAACTCATTAATTTACTAGGAAAAAAAAAAAAGATCGATTGAACTTAAATCACCTTCCAGTTTTTCATCTTCACAGTTAACTCTTGAGTAAGATCTATCCTCACTCAAATATAACATGTGCTGCTTCTTTGCATAAGTCTCCTATATTCCTTCCAAAATATATTTCATCAGTTCTAACTGTCCTTTTATAAATGATATAAGTATTAAGAGCCAAAGGGAGAAAGTGGTGCCTAATTAATAGTCCCAATGAACCCAGGTACCAATGGAGGAAGCATGAATCCGCTCTGACTCCCACCTAGGTCCTATTTTCCTCACCTGAAATTTTGCGGTCTTTTCCTGGCATGGGGTGCGTGTTACAGACACTACATTATGTACTTGAATTGCTTTCACCTGTTGATTTCATTTGGCTATGAAGTTATCTCTTGTGTGTATTAGGTAGGCACAGCAGGGCCAAGAAGGGAGCAGGATTCCGGAAGGCGGCAGGTTCTCGAGGGCCTTGATTTGCTGGCCACTGGGACAAGCGTAGAGTCCCTTCTTATTCCAGGCAGTTCCAGTACCTCAGACGCCCTGAGATTTTAAATTTCACAAAGTCAGAATATTAATGTTCTACATTTGTCCAACTGCGTTTTGGAAGATTCTTTTGATATGCTTCTGTGTGATCTGTGGAAGGAACTATTGGGAACTACCCTAGAACATGTCTTTTAGTGATGTCACATATATGATGGAAAGTGGCTATTTCTGTTCTCCTCACTCATGTTTTATTGCTGGTCTTTCTGCTACAAAATATTTTCTAATCTTGAAATGTTTTAGTCTTGGGTAGCAACTTGGGAAAGTCAATTAGGTTAATAGGATAGAGATAAATCGGTTAATGAAAATGAAACAATTATATAGAATAAAAATGGAAGGAAAAATTACCATAATATGGGTATCTTGTTAAAAAATAGAATGCACCAAGTGTTGATGTACTAGAAGAAGTTTGCTGAAAATACATTGATGATGGTTTAGTCCTTTCAATTAAGTTGTACATTAGGAAAATTAAATGAAGTGATACTATATTATATAAAACTAATAGACTTATTTGAAATAGTAGTGTTAATCAGAATCAAACATTTATTCTCTAAGCTGGTAATTAAAACTATGACACGCAAAAGATATGAAGACTTAAGTTAACAAAGAATATTATCTTGTTAACACTCTAACAGTTGGAGGTTGTGTTGAAAGGAGAAACTGCTTTTATATGAGGTTCAAAACTGGTTAACACTTCATGGGAAATTCTCCAAATGATTTTTCTACAATATACAAAAATGATATTTGGTTTCCAGTGTTCAATTACTAATATGTATAGTAAAACCTCAATATAACAGACTAATTCAGGCAAGGGGGTATCGGTTAAAGCCAAAAGTCCGTTTTATAATAAATAAAGTAGGTTCTCCAAATGCATATGTTAAAAAATTGACAAATTAGTTTACCTGTTTTTACTTATGTAGACACATTTGTGTAATTAAAATTATGTATGAAAAGTTGAATTTCACAGAAAAGTGTTCCATATATATTACTGTAATTTTAAATTTATACTTAATAGGTCTAGTAAATGGGTGCATTCACCAGTCACCTTGAGTAAACAAATGTACCTGGCTGGGAGTGACCTAGCGCACACGAGGGAACATCGGCCTGCATGCGTTAAAACTGCTGTAGAAAGTCTCTCCACACAACAGTTACCAATTACCACACACACAATGCAGTGTGATTACATGCTAGTCATTTGCTAAACACTGTTTATGAGCAGTGACTCTTGAATTTAAATATCTAGAATATAGTTGTAGATATGTAATATTTATTTATGTTGGCAAAATTACTACAGTGTTTTTTCCAACATGTGGCCTATAAAATTTGTTAAAAATAACAGTGAATTAATAACCAAAAAAAAAATAACCTGTTAATTTAATTATAAGCAAATGTTTGTTAAAAGCATTTAAAAATTAACAGAGTTAATTTTTACATATGACATATGGACCAGATATTTTGCCATTAAATCTGAAGTTTGTTAAATCAAGGTCCGCAAAATCGAGTGTTTACTGTATTTTGTATGTAGAGGGCTGACTGCAGCATCTAAATGACTCCTAGAAGCATAGAATTGGAAGAGAGACAGGCCATGCATAGAGTGAAAATCAGGGGGAAAGAACTTAGAGCATCCCCTGGCCTTGTTCTCAAGTGATGCGAAAAAACAGACATCCTCCACCCCTGCCAAAAAAAAAAAAGCAATAAAATGAAATGAATAGCAAGGCCTATGGGGAATTCTTACTAAAAATGTTTCAGTAAGTTTGAACCTTTGTTGTTTGAGTTGGTCTGTTTTTTTTGCACCAAGTTTGGCTATAGGATTATCACAGAGATGCTTGCTTTATCTAGAGTGCTTGAATAGGACTAGCGCCAGTTGGTTATGCTTATTTCATAAATAAACGGGTAGCAGCGTTTCTCTGATTATATAACTATTAGATAATGAGCATGTCCCTTTGATCTGAGAATAACATCCTAGAGTATTATCCTCTTTATTCTGTTTAGCTTTGTGTAATTCTAGAGCTAGAAGGAGCCGTGGCTATCATCAGGTATAATGTTTAATTTACAGAAGAGGAAACTGAGGCCCCAGGAAGGAAGAGATTTGCCCAGGACCCCACAGCGATTTGGTAGCAGAGTCAGATCTCCAACCCCCCTCTCCCCACATCACTCTGCCTCCTAGGGCTCAGCCTATGTGCAATCCACTGTTGAATGCATTTCAGCTGTGATTCCCAGTCTGCTTCTGTCAGCATTGCACCTGACCCTTAGATTAAGGAACAGGTTAGCTGAGAAGAGAAATTCAAATATAAACCTCTGGGGTTTTTTTTTTTCAGAGGATAAACTGTGTTAGGGACATATGGAATTCCTTTAGTATTATTCATTTTTTCCTATGAAGCAAAACCTAAACCAGAAAGCAAGCAGCCTCTTTGTTCTGTGATAAACAATGTACCTGACTTACTAGAATATTTATCTTCACCATAAACCACCCTTCCCCTTGTAGTTGCCTCTTCTCTCTCTCTCTCTCTCTCTCTCTCTCTCCCCCCCTTTCCCTCTCCCCCTCTCCCTGTCCCCTTCTCCCCTCCTCCCTCCCCTCCCCCCTCCCCCTGTTCCCCTCTCCCCCTCTCCCTCTCTCCCTCTCCCCCTCTCCCCCTCTCTCCCCCACCCTCCCACCCCTCTAGCCCTTCCCTAGCTGTGCGTGAAAGAATGCATCTTCTCAGGATCATGCAGAAACTGGCCTCATTCTCCTAGTAGAAATGATCCTCCCAGGTGATAGCAATTTGTTTGCCTGAAAGTGTTTAAGGGACAGGGAGGGAACTACCACATCTGAGCCAAGCAGAGTTTTAAACTTGAGCCAACCCTCTTTGTTTTCCAATCTAGTTGTAATTGTTTTCCTTCTCTTAATCTTCTGTGTAAGGTGCTTGAAGTACTTGAGTAGTGCTGTACACATGGAGTTGCTTGTTGCTAATGAAAATACTGTGCATGTTCTATGCGAATGATTTGGAAATATTCTACTTAATGGGCTATTTGTATTGTGTATTTCCTGCATTGTGAAACGTATCTAGTTGTGGAACCTTAAAAGTAAATAAAATGTTTAAATTTTGAATAAAATATTTTTCAAAATGCTCCACAAGTACATTATCAGTTCTTCAGACGTAGATGCACTTGGGCTCCAGAGCCACGGGAATGCAGACGTTGTTGTACTTCGAGGCTCTCCGTGCGAGCGGATTGCAGTCTCCCTGCCTCTGATACGCACTCCCCTTCTTTCCTACCCGCTGGTAAAAGCATCCCTGTAACAGAGAACAAGGCTTTTCTTGCTGCGGATAGGAATGGACCTTTATATCTAAAGGCTACTAAGAACAGTCAGAGACATAAGCAGGTTAAAAATCACATAAAAGTGCAAAAAGCGGAGGAAAGATTCTTTCTCCTGATAAAAGAGAGCAAAAACACTCTCAGCACGAGGGGAATGGGGCGGGGAAGAAAGAAAAGCAGGTAAGTCTTCCAATGGGGAGAAAAAGGTCACAGGAAAGACCGGGAAAGAGAAACTTGGCCCATGTTCATGTGTTAATAAAAGGTATTGATTTTGAGAGTTCAAGTGAATAACCTCTCTGTGTGATTTTGAGTTTAAAAGGCAGTTGCTATGATTTATTGATGCATTCACCAAGCTTCTTTGTGTGTGTGTGTGTGTGTGTGTGTGTGTATTCTGTGCCAGGACCTATAATGGTCACCGAGGACTCTCGGTGAAAGTCATGTTTCCTATCCACAGAAAAGTCCTATCTGGTGCATGAGGCAGATGAGGGGAAGACAATCATAGTGCAGTATGATGTGAAAAGTGAGCTCTAGGAAGGCCTGGAACTTTTATTGCTTCCGAATGAATGCCAGGATATCTGAATTGATTCT